ATCCTTGGGGACCCAGCCTACCCCTTAATGCCATGACTCATGAAGCCGTACACAGGCAGCCTGGACAGTAGTCAGGAGCTGTTCAACTACAGGCTGAGCAAGTGCAGAATGGTGGTAGAATGTGCATTTGGACGTTTAAAGGCGCGCTGGCGCAGTTTACTGACTTGCTTAGACCTCAGCGAAGCCAATGTTCCCACTGTTATTACTGCTTGCTGTGTGCTCCACAATATCTGTGAGAGTAAGGGGGAGACGTTTATGGCGGGGTGGGAGGTTGAGGCAAATCGCCTGGCTGCTGGTTACGTGCAGCCAAACACCAGGGCGGTTAGAAGAGCACAGGAGGGCGCGGTACGCATCAGAGAAACTTTGAAAACCAGTTTCATGACTGGCCAGACTACGGTGTGAAAGTTCTCTTTGTTTCTCCTTGATGAAACCCCTCGCCCCCTGGTTCACTCTACTTCCCTGTAAGCTAACCACCTCCTCTCCTCCCTTTGATCACCGCTTGCAGAGCCAATAAAATCATTGTTGCTTCACATTCATGCATTCTTTATTTATTCATCACACAAATAGGGGGATGACTTCCAAGGTAGCCCAGCAGGGGTGGTGGAGGAGGGAAGGAAAATGCCACACAGCACTTTAACCACAGCACTTCAGAAGTTTACAACTTTAAAATTTATTGAATGCCAGCCTTCTCTTTTTTGGGCAATCCTCTGTGGTGGAGTGGCTGGTTGGCCAGTGGCCCCCCCACCGCGTTCTTGGGCATCTGGGTGTGGAGGCAATGGAACTTGGGGAGGAGGGCAGTTGGTTACACAGGGGCTGCAGTGGCAGTCTGTGCTCCAGCTGCCTTTGCTGCAGCTCAACCATACACTGGAGCATACTGGTTTGATCCTCCAGCAGCCTCAGCATTGAATCCTGCCTCCTCTCATCACGCTGCCACCACATTTGAGCTTCAGCCCTGTCTTCAGCCCGCCACTTACTCTCTTCAGCCCACCACCTCACCTCCCGGTCATTTTGTGCTTTCCTGCACTCTGACATTATTTGTCTCCACACATTCGTCTATGCTCTGTCAGTGTGGGAGGACAGCATGAGCTCAGAGAACATTTCATCACGAGTGCATTTTTTTTCTTTCTAATCTTCACTAGCCTCTGGGAAGGAGAAGATCCTGTGATCATTGAAACACATGCAGCTGGTGGAGAAAAAAAAAGAGACAGCGGTATTTAAAAAGACACATTTTATAAAACAGTGGCTACAGTCTTTCAGGGTAAACCTTGCTGTTAACATTACATACATAGCACATGTGCTTTCATTACAAGGTCGCATTTTGCCTCCCCCCACCACGTGGCTACCCCCTCAACCCTGCCCCCTCCCCGTGGCTATCAGCGGGGAACATTTCTGTTCAGCCGCAGGCAAACAGCCCAGCAGGAACGGGCTCCTCTGAGTGTCCCCTGAAGAAAAGCACCCTATTTCAACCAGGTGACCATGAATGATATCTCACTCTCCTAAGGATAACACAAAGAGATAAAGAATGGATGTTGTTTGAATGCCAGCAAACATACACTGCAATGCTTTGTTGTACAATGATTCCCAAGTACATGTTACTGGCCTGGAGTGGTAAAGTGTCCTACCATGAAGGACGCAATAAGGCTGCCCTCCCCAGAAACCTTTTGCAAAGGCTTTGGGAGTACATCCAGGAGAGCCACGAATGCCAGGGCAAATTAATCCTTTCACATGCTTGCTTTTAAACCATGTATAGTATTTTAAAAGGTACACTCACCGGAGGTCCCTTCTCCGCCTGCCGGGTCCAAGAGGCAGCCTTGGGTGGGTTTGGGGGGTACTGGCTCCAGGTCCAGGGTGAGAAACAGTTCCTGGCTGTCAGGAAAACCGGTTTCTCCGCTTGCTTGCTGTGAGCTATCTACAACCTCCTCCTCCTCATCATCATCTTCTTTGTCCCCAAAACCTGCTTCCGTGTTGCCTCCATCTCCATTGAAGGAGTCAAACAACACGGCTGGGGTAGTGGTGGCTGAACCCCCTAAAATGGCATGCAGCTCATCATAGAATCGGCATGTTTGGGGCTCTGACCCAGAGAGGCCGTTCGCCCCTCTGGTTTTCTGGTAGGCTTGCCTCAGCTCCTTAAGTTTCACGCGGCACTGCTTCGCATCCCTGTTATGGCCTCTGTCCTTCATGCCCTGGGAGATTTTGACAAAGGTTTTGGCATTTCGAAAACTGGAACGGAGTTCTGATAGCATGGATTCCTCTCCCCGTACAGCGATCAGATCCCGTACCTCCCGTTCAGTCCATGCTGGAGCTCTTTTGCGATTCTGGGATTCCATCATGGTTACCTCTGCTGATGAGCTCTGCATGGTCACCTGCAGCTTGCCACGTTGGCCCAACAGGAAATGAGATTCAAAAGTTTGTGGGCCTTTTCCTGTCTGCCTGGCCAGTGCATCTGAGTTGAGAGTGCTGTCCAGAGCGGTCACAATGGAGCACTCTGGGATAGCTCCCGAAGGCCAATACCGTCGACTTGTGTCCACAGTACCCCAAATTCGACCCGGCAAGGCCGATTTAAGCACTAATCCACTTGTCAGGGGTGGAGTACGGAAATCGATTTTAAGAGCCCTTTAAGTCAAAATAAAGGGCTTCATCGTGTGGACGGGTGCAGTTTTACATCAATTTAACGCTGCTAAATTCGACCTAAAGTCCTAGTGTAGACCAGGGCTATGTGAACAGGCAAGGAGGGGCCTGGTCGACTGCTCTGCCACAAGGTGATGAGGCTCTGGGAGTTTTGCATTGACAACTCAATCCGTTTCAAAGCCTCTCACCTTCCAAGTGTTTAGAACAAACTGGCAGACCCATCAAATGGATCTTTCTCCAGTCACAAGTGTTGTCTCTGCCCAGATGGTGGCCAGATTAATTTTCCAACAATGGGGGATTCCCCAAATAGACCGGTTTGCTCTCGGGCAGATCATAGCCCAGGGTTTCTCCTGTTGCCTTGGGCAGACAAGTTCCTGTATACATTTATCTCCAGTTCCACTCCTTCCAAGAGAGGAAGGACCATGCTCGAGTCATACTCATATCTCCAATCTGGCCTTGACAGCATTTGGTTTTCCCCTCTGCTAAACCTCTCAAACTGAGCTCTGTAGATACTATCGTTGGAACCAGACCTGATCTCTCAGAATCACGGTCATCTCCTCTACCCCAAACTACGGGCCCTCCCCCTGACAGCCTGAATATTCCGTGGCTAACTTCTCAGGAGGAAATTTGTTCAAATGGGGTTCAAGAGATGCTTTTAATTAGGAGAAAACCTTTTATCGGGTATACTTTCCTGGTGAAATGTCAGAGGTTCTACATCTGGTCCCAGCAGAAAGACGTTTACCTGGGCTAGGGTCCAATCCCCTATGTGTTGGATTATCTGTTATATCTAAAGCAACAGGGCCTTGCTATTACTTCTGTCAAGATCCAGCTGGCAGCTAACTCAGCTTTCCACCTGCCAGTTGAAAACTGTTCCCTTTTCTCCAATCATGTGATGATCAGATTTCTAAAGGTTTAGATCAGTTATATCTCCAAGTAGAGGATCCTATTCCCCATTGGGACTTAAACCTGGTGTTAGCAAAGCTAGCGGGTCATGCATCTGAGCTGCTGGCTGCCTGGTTGTTACTCCATCTTTCCATGAAGGTAGCCTTTTAGTTGCAGTCACCTCGGACAGAAGTGTGGATGAGGTACGAGCTCTAGTTTCACGACCACTATATATGGTATTCTACAAGGACACGGTTTACCTAAGCCCTCACCCAAGGTACCTTACCAAGGTGGTGTCTTATTTTCACATTAATCAGGCTATATTTATCAACTTTCTTTTCTAAGCCTCATAATCATAGGGACGAGGAGACACTACACATGTTGAACGTTAGAATGCCTCAAGCTTTTTACCTGGACACGACCAACTGTTTAGGTCTTTCTCACAGCTTTTCCTGGCAATTGCAGACAGAATAAAGGGCCTTTAAGGCTTTTCTCAAAAGATCTTGCTGGATCTTATCTTGTATTTGTTTAAGCTATGATTTGGCGGGCGTGATGCTGCCAAATAGAGTGGTTGCACATTCAACCACATCTCAGGCAGCCTTTGTAGCCTTTCTGTCTCAAGTGTCTGTTCTGGACATTTGCAAACTGGCAACTTGGTCTTCAGTCCATAGCTTCGTGTCTCATGCCATTTCTCAGCTATCTAGAGCTAACACCATATTTGGACGTGTGGTCCTTCAGTCTTTAGCCACCTCCAGATCAAACTGCTTGTGAGTCATCTGAAGTGGAATGGACATGTGCAGCCACTTGAAGAAGAGGAAATGGTTATGAACCTGTTCAGTAACTGTTGTTCTTTGAGATGTGTTGCACATGTCCATTCTATAACCCCCCTCCTTCTTCTGTCTCCAAGGGGAATCCAAGGGGTACCGCTGAGGGAAAAACCTCCAACAACAGTACACTTAGCATGCATACACCTGAAGTGGAATGGATATGTAACACATCTCAAAGAACAACAGTTACTGAACAGGTTCATAACCATTTCCTCTTCTTCAAGTGGCTGCACATGTCCAACAGTAGTTACGGGACAGGTTAGTAACTGTTTCTTGTGACATTTTATACATTTTTATCCACTTTCCACAGTTAGGCTCCAAAGTGGGATAAATCTGTAGGCCCAATTATTACAGCAGACCCCACTTACATAATTCCTGACTTTTTTTAATCAATGAGCTACTAAAGCACACATGTTACTAACAATTAGTTTTAAGTGAGTCACTAATAACTGAGGCCAGTACTTCTGTCAAGAAAAGACTGGATGCTATTCTTAGGTAAGCTGCATAGATCACACATTTTGAAGAAAGAAACCCACAGCTGTACTTATGTTGAGTAACAGGTCCTTGGAGATTTATGGCATAGCAAATAATAATGTGATCCAGAAGGTGTAACTATTTCTCTATTAAATTCCTGTAAATTATGCTGATTTGTTTAATTTTCAGAGACCACTATAAAACAGAATATGAGAACAAATTGCGTGATGAATTGGAACAAATTAGATTGAAAACAAATCAAGAAATTGAACAGCTTCGAAGCACCTCAAAGGAGATGTATGAACGTGAAAACAGGTAGGTAAACATTATTTAAAAAAAAATCTTTCAGGCATAATGTAATTATGGTATACATTGTCATATGTCATCTTTGTGTTTGTGTTCCTATTATTTGTGAATCATGTTGTCAGTTTTATGGTGGGAAGGGGTGGTCACAGTGCAGAAAATTAGACTTAATGTTAAGCCATTATTAAATAAACTTAGATGTTACAAGAAAGCTTTTCATACGAAATTACATTTTTACAATCAAAGTGCAGTTTTATTTTTTGCTTTCTCTTAAAATAACTGCTGACAATTCTTAGTATTGAAAATAATTAATTGTCAACAAAAGCAAAAGTTATCTTCCACGTTAGCATTAGTGGTTTGTGTTTTGTGCTGCTGTCATTTATATCCTAGTGAAATTAATATGTATAAAGTACATACGTGTCAGGTAGTTTCCTATATATGATGCTTTGCAGCTGTTCTGGAGACAAGCCTTGGAATCTGAGAATAGAGAGGGGACTGTATTGAGAGGAATGAGGAACGTGGGAAATGAGTCATGAGGGGGGTTTTTTGTTTTTGGTTTTTTTTTACTTTTTAAAAAAAGAAAGCAAGTTTGATATAGTTTAAAACTTATGATCTAAAAAAAGTATACATCTCCAATTCATTATACTGTTATGTTTTCAGCAGAACATACTGTGATACCAATCTTGCAAAGGCTGACCTACCTGCTTTTGACATACCTTGCATGTTGGTAGTCCCATTTGAATTCAGTGGAACACCTCATTATGCATGGTGTTAAGCACCTATCTAAGTCTTTAGGCATTTAAAGGTTGGGACCTATGACCGTAGGAATTTTGGCACTGTTTCTCTCTGCCAAAGTGATCAGCCAATAGTAAGAGGTCATAGTAATAGCAATTATTGCACAAACCTATCCAGTCTTATGTGACTATAATCGAAGATCAGGAGGACTGGTAAGTGTATTTGCAGGTATAAGGTAAGATTCTGTCCATTGCAAGTACAAATTCTTTGTAATCAGTTTCTGACACTGACACAATTACAACAGAGTGACCACCATAACATATATCACACTGTTGTTGTCTTTCTCAGTGTAAACAAATATATAATCAGAATTTTTTATGTATATTTTTATTTTAAATAAACATCAACTGCCATTACTGGTCCACTACCTATTAATTGGTAGTCTCTTAGAGGCCTCACCCTAGAATTGGTTCTTTAGGAGGGTACCATTTACATTGCAAAAACAGTGCACTAAATCAGTTGCTGGAAGACAACCCTGTGCCAGCCTAGGCAATGGTTTGGGCTGTTTTAACCATGTGTGTGCACACAGACTGTGTTTAGATCCAACTCTCTCACTTTCTAACTGGATACAAACTCAGTTAGAAGAAGTTGTTCTAGGTATTGCAGGTGGTGACACTTGCAGTTAAAATAGACACTTTACATTATTAGGACCATTTTCAGTTACTTATAACATTGCCACGCTTGAACCATTTGGTGTGGTCTTCGGATTGAATTTTTGTTTGTTTGTTTCCAAAAACAAGATTAGGGAAAAAAATGTTGTTTTGCCCACATTATAAAAATCCTTCTTTGTTGGCTACTGTGCATTCCCACTTATGGGAAATCTACAGCGTTTAGCATTGAACTGTGGAATTATATTAAAAAAGCCCACGTTTGCCGGTGGGAGAGGAGGAAGATGCAGAAGTACCTGTCACACTAGGATGACAACATCAGTCCAGTTTATACAAAGGAGTACTCTCTCACAGCCACCTCTGTTTCTTCATCATTATCACAGAGAGCTAACTGGAACTTTTTTCTTGTGTCCACTAGCTAGTTAGCCTGTCCTTTTCTTAATGTTACTATAGTTCTAGTACAGTTAAAGTAGTTGAGACCACTTGCCTTGGGTTACTGCCAAGGCTGTGTTGGGTCCCAAACACCACAGAGGGTTCAAAACGTGTGTGACCTGTTCAGCTACTGAGACAGACACACTGGCAGAGGCTTGTGTAGTGTGACTGGGAGAAGCTCACCTAGCCCAGTGCACGATTTGCCACATCTTCACTCCTTGGACGACAAAGGACAACAGTTAAGTCTGCAGGGGCATTTGGCTTCCTTAAGCCTTCAACCAGATTGTCCTAATGTGCCTTCCGGAGTTTTGAGGTCTGCCTCTGTGCTGACAACTTTTTTAAAGAGACCTGAGGAATTAACACTGCCACCTCAGCCTTGAAACCAGCCTGAAATCAATTAGCCTGAGACAAACATCTAGTGGGATTGTTCTGCCATTCAGCACCACAGGCTCCATCAAAATAGAGGGCTCTGGCACTGCAGTCTAGATTGGCATTGTTGTCAGCACCGAAAATTGCTCTTGTGCTGTTAGAGTTGACACTGTTTTCAGATCTCCTTGTGAACTTGTTCCAGGGAAGAAGAAGGAAAAAAGAAAGCATTCTGCTTTACAAGAGGAGACCAAGGAGAAGAAAGCTGAGGCTTTGTTCTCCTACTCCACTGACATGTCACCTCTTGAACTCCTTACCCTGTCAGTGATGCCCTTGGCATGCACCTCTCCTCGATATATGACTCTGGTGACAAATTATTTTGACACCTCACTGGTGTGCGTATCTCAGACTATGTAGTCCCTCATGTTTGGGGGACCACCATCCGTGGTTTTGGCTATGACTCTGCAGCTTGACTCAGTGCAGCAGTATTTGTCACTGATACTGATCCAGAACATGTTGGTTCTGAGGGGATCCCATGCTCCTCAAACAACGCAAGTCTTGTGGTTTGCTGCAGGTAACCTAGTGGGCTTCCTTTGCCAAAATCTCCATCTGCCTGGAAATACCTTATGTAGGAACACCGTCAACTATTATGTCCTATGTTCAGGAGTCAGTGAAGGCTTTTCCCAGTGCTGCCAAACAAACATGTCACCAGTTTTGGCTCTGTTGGTAACCTGACACCATTGCACCTCATGGTACCACAGGCACCTCCACCAGCACCGACAGCTTTCCCAGTACTGGCCTCATGTCAGGCACTGCTGCCCTCTAGAGCCACCCGTGTTTTAATCGGTGCAGAGATGACTGGCACTTCTGACACCATTTCCTCCTCAAGAAGAGTGGCACATGCATGACAACTAAGAGATGACTCCTTCAGAGGAAATGGAGTGGTCACCCATCAAGGAAAATACTGATGGAATGTCCGTTGAGGATCAAATTGGGACTTTGTTCATCTCTCCTCCTGATAAACAGGAACATGCTTCTTTGAGTGCTTGCTCATGTTGATTCCAAGTAGGTGTGTGTGCGCCGCATGCAAAGTTGCCGGAAGGTTTTTCCTTTAGCAGTAGCTGTTGGGTCATGCCTTCATGGTGCTGCATATAGGACCCTGCCAACCTGCCGCCTCCCCAATTCCTTCTTATCGCCAGTCACCGTCATTGAAGCGTTCTCTTTTTTCTCTCATTCTCGAATGATCCCCTAGTGGACTCTTAATTATTACCTGTAAATAGGTAATAGTTCTTAGTGTAGTGTAGTGTAGTGTAGTTTTTTAACCCCCTTGTTCGCCTGGGTTCTCTTCCCCTTTTGCTTCCCGGAGCCAGGGCATGCCTCAGTCCCAGGGGTTTTAAGCCATGTGGGGTCTGCCAAAAGCTGATACCAAAGTTGACCCACACATATCCTGCTTTAGGTGCCTGGGGGAATCTCACCAGACTGACAAGTGCAAAATCTGCAGAGGATTCTGCCCAGGACCGAGAAGGAAAGGAACCACAGGCTGAAACTTCTGCTCATCGAGGCAGACCTGCAGCAACAATCAGAATCGATCCCCGTGGACCCGGCACTGGGTACTTTGGCATCAGTGTGTAGTGCACCAGCTTCAATGAGGGAGGTCCACAGAGGAAGGACTCAGAGGTCAGCGACCCTCGGCACTGTCACTCCCCAGCACTGAAGACTTCCTCACGTGCAGAGACCCGCCACCACTCGCAGTCGTTGGTGCCTCGCAAAAAGCGCAGGAAGATAGAGGGCTTTCGCCTGCTCGTCTGACTGAGCATGAGCGCAACCTCTTTCATGCCTGAGGCGGTACCTTTGACTCTGGGCCCTCAGAGGTTGGGTTTCAGTTTAAGGGGGGATTTTATTTTGGGGGTGGGAGGATATGACTATAGAGTATTTTAATCTGTACGTTCACAGCTTCTCTTTAGACTTTGTCCTGCTGTATTGTTCTCTGCATTTTTTGACTCTTCTTGTTGTTCTGTTGTGGACAGGTATGAGGTATAAACTCATTAATTTTATTTCGTATCAGTACTAGGGTGGATTTGAGTTAAATTGATTTAAATCATGATTTAAATCACTAATCAGGAAGATTCGATTTAATCATGTGTTTCTACATAAAAGTGCATTCTTGTTGGTTGTTATAACTTTAATACATATTCTTCACAACTTAGAGAGAGATCTACATTTCATTTTTAGAAGGTACAAACTATACGTTTTTAAGTGATTTATTTTGAAAACTTTTCAGATTAGTTTTACAGCTATATCAGAAAATGAATGATTGTTTGGTTATTTCATTTACCGAAGGTAATTGAAGCAGAGAGTTCACCTCCCAAAGACTTCATAAATATCTCCAATTCAGCACATTAATCATTACTATTTGGAGGATTTTCTTGCCATGCTGTATTAGTTGGAGAACATCACCAGACAGATATTTAAATTGTTTTATTTAATAAAAACAACAATGTTATGTATTTGGGATTTTTTTGCTTCAACAGCAAACATATAATATTTTAACAAAACAAGCATGTGAATTTTTGAATTTGGTTAGAGTGGTAGCTATGTTAGTCTGTATCAGCAAAAAAACCGAGGAGTACTTGTGCACCTTAGAAACTAACAAATTTATTTGGGCATAAGCTTTCTTGGGCTAAAACCCATTTCATCGGATGCATGCAGTGGGAAAATACAGAAGGAAGATATATATACACAGAGAACATGAAAAAATGGGTGTTGCCACACCAACTGTAACAAGACCAATTAATTAAGGTGGGCTATTTTCAGTAGGAGAAAAAAAAAAACCTTTTGTTGTGATAATCAGGATGGCCCATTTCAAACAGTTGACAAGAAGGTGTGAGTAACAGTAGGGGGAAAAATTAGCATGGGGAAATAGTTTTTACTTTGCATAATGACCCATACACTCCCAGTCTTTATTCAAGCCTAATTTAATGGTGTCCAGTTTGCAAATTAATTCCAATTCTGCAGTCACTCGTTGGAGTTTGATTTTGAAGTTTTTTTGTTGGAGAATTGCGACTTTTTGGTATGGCAATACCCATTTTTCATGTTCTGTATCTATATATCTTCCTATTGTATTTTCCACTGCATGCATCCGATGAAGTGGGTTTTAGTCCACGAAAGCTTATGCTCAAATAAATTGGTTAGTCTCTAAGGTGCCACAAGTACTCCTCGGGTTTTTTTTTTTTGGGGGGGGGGGTTGGGGGGAGTTGCTGAATTTAGTTAAACATTCAAGTTTTTTAAAATCAGATTTGTTTTTGTTAAAATTGTTTTTAACTAAAATAGTTAAATGAGGTATTTTAAAAAGCAAAAACAAAAATTAAATCAACTAAGTCAGCCAGGTCAACATGAGAAACTTAAAATATTGGCTTCTGCAGCTAACTCAATTGTATTCACCTTCATTTTCCTATTTGTTCATAATCTGGAAAAGAAAAACAAGCTTTCCTGCTTTTTCAGGTCCCAAACGATTTATCAATTTTGAATGAATTAGTCCAAGGGAAGAAAATATTCTTTCTACGCTGGCAGAAGAATCTACTGCTGTTAAAAGTGAAAATATCACTTCAACAGTCTCTGAATCCAAGTGCTTAAGTGACTTCCAGCAGTTCACTTCTGTGACTTTCTTTAAAACATCATCATCAAACTTGTATTTCTTGAATGGTTCTTATTGCCGAAGTGGGTCTCTTTTATGGCCTCCTGCCATTATAAGTTTGCCCTTCCAGTGAGAGCATGGTATGGTAGATCTCAAATCAATGAAGGCTACACTCAGAAAGACCTCAAGACTTCTGGAATATGCTGCTCAAACAGTTTCACTTTTGTTTCTACTGCCTGTCCCTCCCTTCTCACATTTATCTCCAGACTTCTTCTCCTTATCTAGCTCTATTCCACCCCCAACAATCTTTTTGACACTTTTAGAGAGAAGTAAGGGATTGACTCTGGGTACACCAGGGGTCGGCAGCCTTTCAGAAGTGGTGTGCCGAGTCTTCATTTATTCACTCTAATTTAAGGTTTCGCGTGTCAGTAATACATTTTAACGTTTTTAGAAGGTCTCTTTCTATGTCTTTAATATATAACTAAACTATTGTTGTATGTAAAGTAGATAAGGTTTTAAAAATGTTTAAGAAGCTTCATTTAAAATTAAATTAAAATGCAGAGCCCCATGGACTGACGGCCAGCACCTGGGCAGTGTGAGTGCCACTGAAAATCAGCTTGTGTGCTGCCTTTGGCACGCGTGCCATAGGTTGCCTACCCCTGGTGTACACAAATTTGCAGAGGGACAATAGGGTATAGGTCTGTTATTTCTCACCTCTATCTATTTATTTTATTTTAAAACATTTTTGCTGTTAACAAGCATGTTATCTCTGGAGACACAAATCCACAGTTGGAGAACTGCAAAACTAAGCATCTCTGATGGTATCTTCTAGACTGAGCACTGAGTCCCATTAGGTAGATAGATTAATCTAAATAAGCTATACAGAAGCCTCTGGAACCCCATAAAATTGGGTCCCTAATCCATGAACTATTGGAACTCATTTATAAATCTTTTCTTAAACATTACATGAATATATTGTCTCATACTATAGAATTAGAATGTATAATCCCTATTCCATGGTGAGATATCTTTAAGCTATAATATATATTAATTAAAACTATCTTTAGGTAGGTTTTTTTCTCTCAAAAAGCATTTTATCAAAAAAATCTGATTTAAATTAAAAAAAATCCAATTTTTTTACTTTATTTTTTTTAAATCCTTGATTTTTATCCACCCTGATCAGTACCATGGCTGATGCCAGTAATACCAACTTTAAGATGTATGAATCTTGACACTACATATTCAGATGCTGATGACCATGTGCTATGCTTCAGGTGGTTAGGTATGGGGGGCACAGTCTGGGCTGATAGTAAGTCTACATTTGTTTGATCCTTGGGACTCTGAGAGAGGGGGAGGGTTTCTTAAAACTCCATGTGTGGGAGGAGCACTTAAGGAACTTCTGGCCTAGTCCAAAGTAGAAGATCCATCAAGATTAGTACTGAGGGACTCTTTTACTGCCCCAACATCAAAATCCCATGGTAGGAAGGTCTTTTTTCACATCTTTTTTTGCACATTATGCTAAGAAGGGTTGAAGTTCCAACTCCACTTGGTTTCAAAGATCCACTTGGCTTCAAAGACTGAGGAAGCACAGCTGTGTTGGTGGTGAGCAGATCCTCTGTGTAGAAGGAAGCTGGTGACAGTGAGCTCATTGGTCCTAAGGTTTACCAGAGCTGGCAGCCCATTCAAATCTATATGCTTATCTCAGTGTGTAGGAGAGCCTATGGTGTCATTGCTGTTTCAAATACTACTTAGGTTCTTTATGTCTTTCTTTCTCAGCTGTAAACCTTTCCCTATTTATAGTGTCTTGGGCTTCAGTGTTACATCTCCTGTTTCAGTTAGTCAGCCTTCAGAACCAAGGGTTCATAGAATTGTCCCCACTTCATCTTCAGTGAAGCCTGAGTGCCACTAAAGTCTTTGTGTGTCATTCTGTCCTTCTGGTTCTAAGGAATTTGGACCTGAACAATGTCTTTTTTCTAGACATAGGATTGGTGTTTGAGCTCCTCATCTGAGGTTTATTCTATCCTTTGGGGATCTTTTGATCTGCCTTAACCTTATGATACTAGCTCCTTGTTCTCATTCTTCCATTTTGGTCTCTTGTCTTCTGGAACAGAAGTGTAAGGGGTCTAAGGGAGTTCAAAAGTGGTAACTTGGAATGGGAAGAGGAAAAGAAGGATGATTCCTGGCTGGTGGACAAGTAAGGCTCAGTACATTCCTGAGCCTATTCTAAACTACTGCAGGGACAGAAACAGACTCTGTGACAGATTGAATAAGGAGCCCAGGGATGGCTGGAACTGGCTGGGCAAGGAGTCTGAGAGTGGGGAGAGGAGTCCAGGGTAGGGTGGGGATGCTAGTCAAGTCACATAAACCAAACTTTTCACCGATGGTCACTAATTGTGTTCCTTATTTTATGGGTATGCAATCTGAGATACCTGCTTCTGATTGCCGGAACACTTATAGTAGCAACTGAAGTCAGTGGGGAGTTGTTTTTGAACACATAAAGTACTATATAATGCTAAGTGCTCTGAAAATCAGTTCCTAGGCTACTCAAATTGGGCACCCAAAATTAATGTAGACTTTTTACCTTAATCTCTCTGTTCCCTAGGTATAAAATTGGGATGATGTCTATCACTCAACCTCATAGGCTCAGGCACCCTTAATCCTTTTCCAAACTTTGAATTCTTGACTTTGCAATCTTAACATTCTTTAACATTTTTGTGTGTCATTTCTATACATGAATGAAGATCTAATCCTGCTGTGGGAATTCAAATAATCATCATTGTATAGGATTAGGCTCTAAATGTGAATTATATAAAGAACATTGACATTATGTACAAAGTAATATTGCTAGGTCTTAAAAGTGGAGATCTGCTGTGTTCAATTCAGGTTTTAGGGCTGGATTTTCTTAAATCAAATCTGTCTGTTTCCTATACAAATCTTGGAGCATGTCAGACAAATTTTGTGTTCTGTTGGCCCAAAAGTGAGCTATGCTGGGTTGTCTTAATTCTCAAAATTTGTAACTCAGAAAACTAGTTTTGTAAAATTTCTAAAGCAGCTGAAAGGGTTATTTTTAATTGACCAGCATAAAAGCAAAAAGATTATATGGAATAATATAATTGCAGAAAAGAGTCTCATACATCTTTGTTTTTCAAAGAGGTAGTAAATGCATTTTGAGAAACGGGGATATATAATCAGTGGCAATGATGTAGACTTGAGACCAGTAAGTCACAATTGGTAAAAATGTATATGAAATCGGGGATGGGAAAATTATTGTAAATTAAGACTTTTGTGTAAAAAAAACAAATAGTCAACTATTAAGTATGAGAAGCTATTCACAAAATAAGTTAGCACTCCCATACAGCTCTTGTGAGCCAGTCCAAAATGACTAAAAAAGAGATTTAGATATAAATTAATATTGTTTGTTTATTAAAATTCTTGTTCATATATACCATGCTTATATATGTATCGCATGCTTGCTGACAGAATAATTTTATTTTTTACTTCAGAAATTTGAGAGAAGCAAGAGATAATGCTGTGGCTGAAAAAGAAAGAGCAGTTGTGGCTGAAAAAGATGCTTTAGGAAAATATGAGCATCTCTTAGAACAGTAAGTATATTTTAAAATGCATATACACAAATTGAACTAAAGAGATACTAGTATATTTATGTCATTACATTTGATAATTTTTTCTGGACTTAAAGAGAATACTGCATACAATTCTTGTCAACCATATTCAAGAAAGATGAATTAAAACTGGATGAAGTGCAGAGAAGGGCTACTAAAATGGGCAGAGGAATGGAGAGCCTATTTTACAAGACACTAAAAGAACTTGGCTTGTGTTGCCTAGCTAAATGAAGGGCTGAGAGGGGATATGATTACTCTCTATAAATACTGCAGGGTAGTAAAACAACAGGGAAGGAGAAAAGCTATTTAAGCTAAAGGATAATGTTGACAATAAGAACAAAGGGTATACACTGCACATGAATAAATTTTAGGCTGGAAATTAGAATGATGTTTCTAACTATCAGAGGACTGAGTCTCAGAAACTGCCTTTCAATAGGAATAGTGGAAGCAAACTACTTACCACTGGCTGGGAAAGGTGAACCGCGGTCGTTGGGAGCTGCGAGCCATGCCTCTGGATGGTCAATGTAAACAAACTGTCTCGTGGCCTGCCAGTGGATTACCCCAGTGGGCCACAGGTTGCCCACCACTGGTCTACTGCAAGAAGAGGTAACCCACCTCATGACTCTAGGAGAAGTAGAAGCTGTACCATCCGAGTACAGTGGTAAGGGGGTCTATTCCCACCAATTTCTCTCACAGAAAAAAACAGGAGGTTGGAGGCCTATCCTCTACCTATCGTGACTCAACAAATTTGTGAAAACACAGCAATTCAAAATGGTCACACTAAGCACCATAATCCCTGCAGTAGAAAGAGGGGACTGGTTCTCAGCCCTCGACCTCCAGGATGCATATTTTCATATATCCATCCGTTCATCCCTCACGTTGAAAATTCCTATGATTTGCACTAGGACATGACCATTTCCAATATGAAGTGCTACCTTTTGGCCTTTCCACTGCGGCTCGGGTATTTCTCAAAGGTACTATCCGTAGTAGCTGCATATCTACGTAGAGAGGGAATCATGATTTTCCCTACCTGGTCAACTGTCTGTTGAAAGCACCAACAAGTCAGGCAGTCATAAAGTCCATCGAACACACAATAACTCTGTTTACCAGATTAACATTCAAATAAACATTCAAAAATCAACTCTAACACCAGTTCAACACCTGGAATTTATTGGAGTGGACCTCAGCTCCCTCGAGGCAACAGCCTCCCTACCAACAAAACAATTTCTGATTCTAACCAATTTGATCTCCACAGCACAAAATAGCCCGCAAGTGTCTGCCAGAACTTGCGTACAAATTCTAGGCCACATGGCCACCACGACCTTCGTTGTCCGACATGCAAGATTACATATGCAGTGCCTCCAAGCCTGGCTCCAAACAAATTATGCCCCACACAAGCACAGTATAAAGAAGTGCCTCACTATGTCAAAGACAGTCAAAGATTCTCTTTTGTGGTGGACCAACCTGGACAATGTCTACTGGTGGGGTGCCCTTCCTAGAGAACCCATTGTTGATCACCATCACTACGGATGCGTCCCTTCTGGGGTGGGGAGCACATCTGCAACCACACTCTGTATAGGCCGATGCTCCGTGACAGAGTCCCATCTTCACATAAACCTATTAGAACTGCGAGTGGTTCGGAACACTTGTTCCCACTACCTACCGCTAATCAGAGACAGGATGGTACAGATTCTCACGGACAATGTAACTTTTATGTTCTACATAAACAGACAAGGGGGAGTGTGATCACACTCCCTCTTTGTGGAAGCCATGCACCTTTGGCAATGGTGCACAATGTCCAAATTACAGCGTCACACCTACCTGGCTGCCTGAATACTATGGCAGATACCCTAAGCAGGAAGTTTTATCAGGACCACGAGTAGAAGCTGAACACACCAGTAATACTAGACATTTTCTGGATGTGGGGGTTTCCAATGATGGATCTTTTTACAACTGCACAAAACACCAAATACCCCCAGTTCCGCTCCAGAGCGGGACTCGGTCCACACTCTCTGGGTGACACCTTCCTCATCAAGTTGAACGCTCCCCTACTAAATGCCTTGTCTCCCATCTCCTTTCCTAGCCCGCGTGCTTCATAAGATCAAACGAGACAGATCCAGAGTGATCCTAAAAGCCCCCGAATGGTCACAACAAACATGGTACCCTTACCTTCTGCACATGGTGGTCTACACACCACACACACTGTCACTTCTACCTCAGCTGCAGGTTGTGTCATCCATCTGGATCCCCAATGACTCCATCTCAAAGCTTGGTTACTGCATGGTTCTCAGACTCTGAAATGACATATTCCACAGATGTACAAAACATCTTGTTAAACAGTCATAGGACAACTACCCGACTCACATACATACATAAGTGGAGGCCATTCGACTCATGGTGCCAACAAACAGACGGCACTTCTCTCAGCCCCTTTACCTCTCATTCTGAACTACTTGCTGGAACTCAAATGGGCATCTCCATGAGTTACATATGTGTGCATCTATCAGCGATCTTGGCATTCCGTCATAAAGTAGATGGATTCTGTACCTTTTCACATCCACTCCCTAAACGTTTTCTTAAGGGCCTCTGCAGAAGTTCGGAATCCCACCCCACCATGGGACCTCGACTTAATCCTCCATGCCCTCATCGGCCCTCCCTTTGGGCCCAGGGCTACAAGCTCCTTGTTCCAACTTTCCATGAAGGTTGCATTCCTAGTGGCCATTACATCTGCCAGAAGGGTGGGAGAACTTATACAGAACCCACCTTAGACAGTCTTTTTCAAAGATAAAATATCCCTCAGACCACAGCACAAGTTCCTACCTAAAGTTGTCTCATCCTTTCATCTCAATCAATATATTTGCTGACATTTTTTCCTAAACCGCAAGGGGACAAACAGTCTAGATTACATCCCCTAGATGTCCGCAGGGCTATAGCCTTCTACATTAATTGAACAAAATATTTTCTCAAGTCTCCAAAACTGTTTGTTTCAATCACCGAATGATCAAAAGGTAATGCCATTTCCAAAGAATGTGTTTCTAATGGATATCAGACTGCATAAAACTGTGTTACCTCCAGCATGAACGAGAACCCCCTACACTGTAGGGCCTTCAGGGATCTGCACTCATTCTACCATAGGCCTATCAGCATCCATACCGTTTCTTAATAATGTTCCCATCACGGAAATCTGTAGGGCCGCAACCTGGGCTTCTCCACACACATATGCCCAGCATTACACTTTGCAACAACATGCATCTTCCAGTATTCTGTTCGGACATACCGTACTTTCATCTGCTACGTCTTCAACTCCGAAGCTCCCTCCTTTCACTGGAGAGCACTGCTCTGAAGTGGAGCACCCACAGGGACATCGCTCAGAGAAGAGAACATTACTCACCTTGTGTAGTAAAGGAGGCTCTTCGAGATGTGTGTCCCTGTGGGTGCTCCACGACCCTCCTTCCTCTCCTCTGCTTCGGAATTTTATTACTTTTCTACCGCAGAGTAAAGTAACAGGGGGGTTGGTCACATAGCACCAGTTAACCGCCTGAAGCAGCGTGAGATGGGGACCGTGCATGTGCAGCCGGGCAACTACTACCTTAAATCCAGCTGTGGGCACGGGGGCTCACTGATACCTAAAGTGAAGCCCCCACAGGGACACACATCTCGAAGAACCTCCGTTACTGCATGAGGTGAGCAACGTTCTCATCTTCCCTTGTCTTGCCTTGTCTCTCAAAGAGTAGATTGTGTGAATATTTTTCTCACTGTTGTTTCAAGAATGTCATAGTTTTTTTTATCTGTTAGGCTTGTCACCTAAGGGGGCAGTATTTAAAATAACTAGCGGCCAAAACAAGTGCTCCTCTTGTGGTGAAGTTGTGCAACTCACACTGGCGGGATAGCTTCATATGATGTGAAGAACCTCTTTCATCAGACTCTGAGCTCTCTGATTCTCTATTACTCCTGCGGGATTCTGTGTGACTGTGCGCCTGCAGAAAATACCACTCCCTTATCTCCCGCAGAATTCCTGTGCTTCCCTGCTGAAAATGGCAGGGAAGCCACGCCAGGGTGTGTGGGAAGAGAGGACACGACCATGGGTGCAGTTTTTTGCGGGGATTGCTCCCCTTCAAACAGAGGTGAGACATCGGCGGATGGGGGGACACAGGGTTACGTGCCTCTGCCTCCCCTCATTTCTTCAAGCGTAGAGCTGCCCAGCTGTTTCGGCTCCACTGACTCTGCAGCTGAACGTCGCCTCCTGGGTCCTAGTGACAGTTGTGCTCCCCTTCTGTGTGCGGGAGCCTTCCTGTTTTCTGTGGAATAGTGAGTTCCTGCAGTGGGGCTGGGTAAGGACGGGTGGGGAAGTGAGGGACGGGAGGGAGATTGGGTGGAGGGAAGAGGCAGTGGGGAAGGAAGGGGGTGGAATAGGGAGGGGTGGGGGGAATGTGGGAGTGAGGGGACAGGGGTAGAGAAGAAAAGGGGATAGGGGAATCGCGAGCCCGGCATTTGGCGCGCCCTTGGCAGCAGCTGGGAATCCCCCGTTAAGCAGGCCCATTGAACTCTGAACCCTCTTAGCCCTACACCTGTACTCCTTCAACTGACCCCACACACCTGGACCCCCACCCCACTGATCCCCAGCCAGCTGCAGCTGGACCCCCACCCCATCAAGCCCCTCTCCCATGGCACCCAGACCCCCCCCCCCCGAGTCTCCCACACCCAGACCCCCACCTGGTGAATCCCAACCACCTTCTCCTGGATTGCCTGCAGAGTCCCATTGCCGCTGCACCTGGAACCCCCCAATAAGTCCTTGTGCATCCAGATCTCCCACTGAGCCACCTGCACCCAGATTATCCCACACAGAAACCTTGCCCCACACCTGGATCCCCCCACAGTAAGCACCTCCACACTTGGATCCTGCTGGGCGGAGCCTGCCCTCCCACACCTGGTGCAGAGGGCCAGGTCACCAAGGTGTTTCTGGGGCAGGTCCAGCCCTTGCA